CTCAACTCGCATTTTAGTAGATTATAGTTTTAAGAGAATTCTAAGGAATCTCTCTTGTAAAATAGATCTTGATTAAGATCTATTAATTTATCTTGTTAATAAACTGAACATTACATCTGTCTTGAAACTATATTTTGAAATTAGACTACATTCTAGCTAGTCACAACAAGAATATTATTATTATTTATCTTTAAATTAAATATATTCTTATTAATAAACCTTTTAAAGACTTTCTCAAATATCACTTTAAGCATGTAGTTACTTTTATCATGTACTTTTGTAATATTAGGATTAATACTTACTCTTATTTCAGAACTTGCACCAAAAAGATAACAATATATATATAAGCTTAAAATAATAATAATATTATAAATTATATAGATTATTAATTATATAAATAAGCTATTTAATATATTAAATAATATTAAAATAATATAATTAAGATTAATTTTTGAATAAATTTGATTATGATATAAATAGTCTAAAGCTATCAAGTATTTTAAACTGCAAAGACTTTACATATAAATATATAATCACAAAAATAAATGCATTGCTAGATAGTTTTGGATAAGATTTATAAAGCAATATATTTTTTTTATAAAATATATTAGTAATTTATTGAGTAGTTAGAATTTTTCTTTGTTCACTTTTAATAGAATCTAATATAAAATTAGAGAAATTTTCAGTGCTGGAGATTTTTTTCTGATTGAACAGAGCTCACATATTATCATGTAAATAAGATAATTAATTTTTATTATAATAAACAAGAAGCATGCTTGATAATATCATTGATTTATTTAAAAATCATTGATTTATTTAAAAATTATTAATTTATTTAAAAATTATTGATTTATTTAAAAATCATTAATCATTTTTTATTTAAAGAGATATTAAACTTCTCAAATTCTTCTTTGCTAAACCAATCAAATAATCAAACTAGCTTGATTATTTCATATGGCCAAACTCTTCCAAAACACTATCAGAAACTCTATGATATAATTTATACTTTTTTATGGCAAAGACAGCAGCTTTATCTAAAAGATCTTGTTTATAAGCATTTATATATCAAGCAGATTAATGTATGTAATGATGAATCTTGATCAGGATAACTGATTCTAATGCCCACAAAATGATTTTCTTGAGACTCTTAAAAGAGTAATCACAATGCAAACATGAGTACCACTTTGTCTTTCTCCAAAATAATTTAATAAAATTGAGCTTGTAATGAAATTTTGAATAAAAAATACATATATGGCCAGCTACTTCAATAATCTCTTGCAGATGATTCTGTTGAGATGTGAAATCAGGCTGTTAACCAAGAATATCAGTTATGTAATATTGTGATTTCATTAGATCAAAAGCATATGATTTGCAAGTGTCATATTTTTTCATCAAATCTTCTATTTATAAGCCATGTTCTTTGAGAATTCATTAGATACCCTTTGATTTGATTTCATCATCAATATTAATAAATATCAGAACATGATGAAAACCATCAGGCATCTTGTTATCACAAAGAAGTGGTTGTTTATCACCATATTTTAAATTTATCCATGAAATGATCAGAGTATTATCAGTATATGTATTGTGATTGTAACTGTTATTAAATATAAAGAGTGCAATTTTATCAGGATGTATTCTCTCAAAAATCAGAATAGCTCTGTCAATCACTTGCTTTATAAGATCTTGATTTGTCTACCAGTCATCTTGATTAGAATCTGGATACATAATAACACAGGTCTCAGTATACAAAAGCTAATTATCATCAGGAAGTAAGTTATTATAGCTTGATTCTCTATTAAAAGGCAAAGATATCTAATTGATTCACAAATGAAATCACTCATATAGATACTAAGACCTTGTAATTTGTGTCAGAGCTGGTTTTCTTTTGCTAGATTCCAGATCTTAACAATATTATTATTAGTATAAAAAATTGATTCATCATGGATAATCAGAATAAGCTCAAGAATATTAGGTAAAAATATTAGTGAGATAATTTGATCCATATTCTCTCTCTTGTATATTATAATCTGAGATTGTAAATTCATTATTTATTCTAAGAATTAGTTTCGATAAGTCATCACATTATTATGCTTATAGCTATCAAAATAAATATTTTTTGAATAGTTCATATAATTCCAGTCAAGTTGATGTAGTCACTCCTAAGCTATTGTTTTACTAATCTTTCTTTTTGTCTTGATTTCAAGATCAGATAGAATCTCATTCTCAACAAACTTGATAAATTTGTAGATAATTGCTATAAACTTGTTTATATGCAAATATTTGATTATATGCATCTTAAAAACTTTATCAGAGAGGAGTGATATAGTTTTTGAGTGATAGCTATAATGTGATATGAGGATTTTATCTTTACTTAATCATTAATTAGCTCACAAATAAATAATCTACTCATACCATAAACTCTGATTAATATTATAAGCAAGAAGATTACTAGTTAATAGTTTAGAGAATTCTTGATCTTGAATGAGGTAAAGAAATTGGCTTACTATACCAAGTTACATATTAGACTTTTTCTTTAGTAAAGCATCAAGAGATATCAAAGTAAACATATTCTCATCATTACTAGAATTAACTATCTTCTCAAATAGAAGCTCATCATCACTAGAATTAATTATCTTTTCAAATAGAAGCTCATCATCACTGGGATTAGCTGTCTTGATAGAAAACTAGTTAATGATTTTGTTAGAATCAAAAGCTACCTTTCTTAAGGCTGCTCTTTTATTATGCAATATTGATTCAGCAAAATCTTTGTAAATCAGCTTCCATCTCTTTATTATTTATATATCTAATTGTCTTATATTCTTGATGAGATCCTCTAGCACACTTTATTTTAATTCTTCTAATTCTTCTATAAATTAGTTATTATCTAAAGACTCATTTTCACTTTCTATTTGAATAGCATTATCACTTGATTCATCAGCATCTAATACTTTCTTCTTCCATTTTAACTTGATATTATTCTAGTACTTTTTGATAGTTATTAAGTAGTATCTAGTATATTTACTTCATTTAGATATGAGGAAGAGAAGATGCATCTTAAATAGTTTAAGAGAGGTTAATAATATAGCAAAAAAGACTTATATCATAGAAAAGAAAGATAATAACATAGGGAAGAAAGGTTATTTATTATTTTATAATTATATAGTAAAGAAAACATTACCTCCTGAAAAAGTCTTTTTATATAACAAAAGAGAGAAATAACTTATCTTACAAATCTTTAATATGAGTCTTCTAAATAATATTTAAAAATCTTCTAAATAATTTTTTAAAAGCTCAAAATTACTTTTGATATATTTTCTGATGTGATATATCTATCACATAATTGTATTATAATACATGTATTCCAAATTTTAGTGATAGTGTAGTACTTGATATCTTTAGGTCATTCATATCATAGTTTAAATAATTTAATTAAGTAAATATTTAAATAATATATTTAAATTAGTTTAGAAATTAATCTTGAATATAATATAAAAGATAATATAATTTAACTTAATATAATTTAATTTTATAAATTTTATTTTATATTAAAATAAGAAAACTATTTTTTTTATTTAAAAATATTACTTATATAATAGTTATTTTTTATTTATTAATTATTAAAATAAAATTATAATAATAATTAAAACTTTATTAATAAACTTAATTAAATTATTATTAATTAATTATAATAAAGATAATAATTTTATAATATATTAATATATATCTTAATAATTTATTTAACTAAATTATTATTAATTAATTAATTTTAAAGATTATAATTTTATAATATATATTATATCTCAATAATATAATTAACTTGAAATAATTATTTTTGTAATATATTCAAAGCTAAATCATAATATAATAAAAAAAAGAAAATTATTATTATCATTATATATATAATAAATCACATAATATAAAAAAGATTAACTTTTTACATATAATCAGAAAAATCTCATCTATATTCTGATTTACTCAAAAGATATTATATATTTTTTAGAAAAAAAAACATAATGTGAAATAAATTCTTGATAAATATTATATTATATACAAGATTTTATAATGTTAGTCATATAATATATTGGATTTAAGCAAAAGTATGCAATAAATATTTTTCAAATATATAAAAATAAGAAATTTCTATACATACCTATTCATACAGTATAGTAAATTACATCATTTATTATATACACCTTTTTTTGGTCTAATTTATATATAGAAAAATTTAAACTATTTACTATCTTGAATATATTAAAATAATATATATCTTAAAATTAATATATATATGCATTGAAAAAAAAATAAAAAAATTCTTGAAGCTATATAAAAATCTTTTTTGGTAAAAAAAAATACCTTTTGTTAAATGTCTATAACACTTGTTTAAATCTTGATAAAACGTGTCTGTTTTCTTAGTTCTAGCTTTCCAAGATAAGATGATCTTCACAGCCAATATTAATTTCGAAAAGCCTTCCATGGTCCTTGGGATCTCGATATCTTGTAGATCCATGGTAAGGATGGTATTATCGAAAAGATACTTTGAGGCAGATATTGTCAAACGAAATCCATTCGATTGAATACTATAGACTTCAATATCTTTAATGTTATCTTTAGATGTGGAGGGAAGTGTGAAAAACAGAACAGTTAGTATTATCTTTGTACAATACTCAAAGCCACCAGTCTTCTTTCCACGAGTGTTCCGAACTCCATCTTCTTGGGCTAGTAATTCGGTACCTAGGGACGTCCAGCAATGTTTAATATTTCTTTAAGCTTGTCATAAGACTTCGATGCCAATTCACCACAACTTAGTTTTAGATCTGTTTTTCCTAGGAATGCATTTCTTAATAATGGAGTCCATACATATGCGCTGAATTCGTGTTCTGACAAAGATTGGAGGAGGATATCATTTTTATACAAGTGAAAGAAATGGTGAAAAGGTTTTGTACATAAACGAGGTCATTTGATGATGTGGAGTAACCAATTAAATTTTCATCCAGGCATCTTCCTAAAGAGTCCAAATCTGATACATGATCAAACTTATTTAAGAACTGCAAAACGTCATCATCACAGTCGAGTCGACCAGAAATTTATCAATGCCTCGTCCTTCACTAAAATTTACAGTCTTGACCTCGGGGTCTTGAAGCAGATTAGCAATGAATTGTATGATATATACTTTGTACATTCAGTATTGTAAAAGTTTACAACACCAATAGATAGAGGACTTTTTTCAATCCCCTTTGTTAAGTGAATAAAGTCTAAAATATCTATATCATTATATGTTAACTTCTCGTTCGCTAAGACACGCACTTGATATGTTTCGAGGGCTTCTTTCGCTATATCACGAGTAATGTATTTACTTCTCGGCTTTTTATTCTTCACTTCTTCTAAAGATGCATTTGATTCGACATTCTTGTCCAGATTTTTTTCAAGCTCGATGGAAGGTGCAAGAAAGATATTCGTAAGATTAACAGGTGTAATTTAGGATTCAGAGACTCTTCACCTTCAATTACTGGAATGGCAGATTCTTCATCACTGAATGTTTTTATCTGTATACCTGAAATGTGAGAAGGTATTTTGTTGCGGGTTGTTATTTAAGCAATAGAAATACCTTGTTTCCGGGGTTTGTGTTCGGATTTATCATCCTTAATCTTTTTTGTTGGCAGTTGAAATTCGTTTAGCGATGCTAATTATGAATTATACGTACAAGACAACAGATATCGGATTCTGCTAAATATTATAATTATGATGAGTTTTAACATGATGTTCTTTTTTTGCTTTGCTTTTCTGAGTGCCGGAATGGAAGAGAGTATGAATGAGCTTTGACTTATCAATTATCAATTGGAATTTTCGTAAAATTTAAAAACAATAAATCGGGATAACGCATTACATACAATCGAGCATTTCATAGCTTTCAATCGAAAATTTATTGATATTTCTCATGTTGGGTTACGGAAAAACAAGAAGATATATGGGAGACTCCTCTCTATTGATTTACCATAGATAGTATTTTATATGAGTAAAATTACAACGATAGATAATAACGTGCCTTTCTAATTAACATTTTTTTCTTTATTCATAATTATTCATACTGTTATACTTTCCATGCAAAATCAGAGTTTCAGTCCTAATGGGATTTTTTAAATCACATTCAAAGATACAAATTATAGAAGAAAATGCTTTGCCCGCTAATTTCAGCGGCAGGTTGAATATAAGAATAATAAATATCGATTTATTTATAATGAATATAAAATAGGTTGTTATTGGATAAATATAATGCCAAAAATATTATACTAGAAATACATCTTTAAACAAATGTCTCACTCTCAGAAGCTTTACGCTCTATTGTTTTTGTTGGTTTTTTTGATTGAGCGGACTTCAAATGATTTTCACCGGTAACATAATGCGTGGTACAATCTTCACACCAAGTTTTTGGCAACCATCCATGTCGCGCACCGAAATATATTGATTCGCACGCAACACAAAAATCAAAAATAGCAGCAAAAGACGCTGCTGTAAATAATATTCCCCAAAATACGAATGAGACCATGTGGTAATTTAAAAACCAAAACGTTGTGCCAAATAGCGAGAATAATAGACCACAGATTTGAGCGAAATGTTTTGGTACTGATGGTACGTATTCTGAACGGATAATCGGTAAGACATCTTCGAATAATGGCCGTAGAATAAAGAGAACAATGAAAGCTTGAGGATCTAATCTTGGACCAGCGACTACCCGTGCAAAGAATCCATAAAGTATGTAAAAATATAAATAGGGAAAATTACAGAAAACTGCTAGAGCGGTCGCTGCAGGGACTAGAAAAGATGTACAGAAATTGTGTAATCTTGATTCCGCTTCGTTCACTGGACTTGGAAATGTGAAAAACTCCTTCAAACTTGGCATATTAATACACCATAATGCAATGTTACGCGATAAAACCAAGTTTTTACGTAAGTGCACGTAGTTAACAAATTTAGGATAGACATCTGCGAGCAATAAAAGTTCTGTTTCGTTTTGCGTTTCGTCAAATATTGTTGGATCCTAAAAAACAAAAAGATTAAATTTGGTTATAGTTTAAAAAATACATACAGATATTATAATTACCGCAGTTTTTAAGCCTTCTAAAAATCTCTTATGTACTCGTTTCCGCATTGCAGAAGAAAGATTTATTTCTTTGACGCCTTCCTCTGATATATAAGTCTCATAAATATATCTTGCTTGTGCTTCATGTGCCACTGAATCAATAGTTCGAAATTTTTCTACAGCACACCTTGAAAATATTAGATTATTACTATTGTTTCATAAAATAATGACGGGGTTCGTTTTAGCATAAATTATAATGACACTTACCAAAAATCAATTAATTCAACACACATTTTTCCTTCAGCAAAGACACGAAAGGATGCCAAATCAAAAGGCGGGCTATTTTTACCCCTTAGAACATCCTGTAACGAAGCAACTTCCCCTACTACAACAGCTTTTTGAAGTGAATATCGATGTGGATTCCAAGATTTCATTGAAGGCTCTAATAAATGTTTTTGTATTTGACAGTTTTTATCTGAAGAATTACACGCATAAGTGTTTAAACTTGCACTCGATTTTAAATTGGGGCTGTAAGTTGGTGCCTCCTGAGACACAGTAATTCTTGTTTCTTGTGACATGTTTGAGGGTTGATTGTCGTTTTATTAAAGGATCTGATAATTAATTCTTGCGTTTAGTAATCGAATTCTTTACCCTAATCGAGGAGTTTTTTTGCTTTTTTCGCTTGTGATAATTTAAGAAATTAATCTAATATAAATTTTGTTGATTTGAGGAAAATTAGCTTCCGAAAAACAAAGCTAACTGCTAATTTAGTTAAAATGAATAAATTCTGAAAAGATTGAAGAAAGTGGCAGTAAAAATTGTAGTAGTTGTTATTATTGACAGTTAAAAAAAAAAGGAGGGGAAGGGAAGCCCTTCGCCGAGCGAGGGACACATTAAAAATAAAAAGCAATTCGCGAAAAAAGAAAAACAATGAATTTAATTCTTTCCTAAATCTCTCTTTAATTTATCACAAAAACACAGACACTCGTACACACACAAACGACACATCAAATATTTAATAAATGAATTTTCATATAAATAAACATCAATAAATGTAACACGTATTTATACACGACATAGTGTACATATATAATAACTTCGTGAACGCGTTTCGATCGATTATCACACGAATCAAAATAACTAAATATTTATATTTACAGATAAAAGTTAATAATTGGTGTAATTATAAATCGAATTCATTATGTCCATTCTACAAAAAATTCTTTTTCACCTTCTCATTATCTTTTACATAATATTAGCCTTTATTAAATAGGCCCGTTTAAAAAAATTGAACAAACTTAGATCAAGCTCATAACTTTAAAGTCCGATCTTTCTTTCTTTTCTCTTTAAGTCTCAACGTTCCAATAAAAATTTTATTTTTATTTATAAGATAAAATTGTAATTAACGCAATCGAATACTCTCTTTATAATTCTTACTTATTAGAGAAATGAATTAACATAATTGATTTTGGATGCTGTTAGAACAATTTCAAACAGATAAGAAAACTGTATACGATAATAACATCACAAATTAAGTGCGTATAGCATTGGCTATATTATGTTACTCTACTTCACGTACACATTAAACTTAGTTTATTTTTGTAGAACAATGAAAAAAAAATACCTGCCGAACGTGTTCTCTAGAATTCGATAATGATGCGTACGTATTATATTCTCACGTAAATTTTATATTACATACATTATCTTTGTTATAATAACAAATATAAACATGATGTCTTACACTACATTTGATCATTAAATCATTTGCATAGATACATTGTTGCAACAAACAACACCACAAAAGTTACTATTTCTCCACGCAAACCTTTTTTTGGTCCAATAGGTTTGGATTTTCGAAATGTATTAATTACTGTTACGTCTGATTCTAAAAATGTATACATGTAGAGGATTCGATTTAAGTGATCTACCTTGGAGTCGGTTTCATGTGATTCCGACCCAAGAGAGAGACAGTAAAGTCGGATTTAATTTCCTTATTATAAAGCCGAGTTCAAATCTTACTCCTGTAGAAGGTATTAAAAAAATGAATTTAACAAATTTATAATTAATTCCAGCTTGTTTTTAGAAATAAATATATGGTGTGAAATATCTAGTCATCACAAAAGTAGCCAAAAGTAATATATTAGAAGATTAAATCTATTAATAAAATATATTAAAATTTATAATTTTAACTAAGTTTCATTAAGTAATTTAATTCGGTGTCATTTCAACTAAGTTTTATTAAGTAATTTAATTTTGTGTCATTTCTTTTACAAGATTATATTTTTGTACTGAATAATATAATAAAAGTTTAATGATTAATATTTTATATCTTGTAACTTGATTGATTTATTTTTATAATATATAATGATAATCAAAATTAATATAATACTTGATTTAACTTTACAATTAAATATTTTTATTTTTAGCTCAAAATAAAACTAAAATTCTCTACTTTAGCATAATTTTTTATTAATTATTATAGTCTGATATAAAAATATTTATATTTCAGATAAATATTAATAGATTATTTTTTTAAACTTTGAATTTTAATTTATAATTCAATTTTTATGAAATTTAAAATATATATTTATTAAATTTAAAGTAACTTGCTTGCATAAATTAAAGTTTTAATATTATAAATTAATAATAATAATATTTAAAATATCTTTTTTTTAAAAAAATAATATTATTTTAATTTTTTTAGAAAAATATTGCTTTATTTATTATTAAATTAAATAATTAAAATAATATAAAAAGTTAATTTAATATAAAAATTAGTTAAATTTTGAATAATTTTTATATAAAAATATAAATCTTTTTGTATTTAATTATAATTAATAAAAATTAATTTATTTTATATATAATTAAAATAGTTCTCACAAAAAAAATTTAAAATCTAAAAAAATATAAAGAATTTTAACTTTATTTTGAACTAAAAGTAAAAATAAATTTAATAATAAAATTAAAAATTCTTATTTATATTAAAAAATATATATTTTATTAATTATAATTAATAAAAATTCAAGTATTATATTAATTTAATTATTATTATATAATTTATAACAAAAAAATTATATTATAAATTAATATAAAATATTAATATAATAATTTATAATTAAAAATAAGTATTATAATATATAATTATCAAATATAAATATCTTTTATTATAATTAAGTTATTAAATCAAAATTTTTTCTTTATTATAGTAAGTACTTAAATTTTTATTATAAGAAATATTTTATATAATAATTTTTTTATATTAATATAATATAATAATTAAATAATTTATTAAGAAAATAATAAAAAAATAATTAATTTATTAAATATATAATAAAGATATTTATATATATAAAATCTTTTATTATATAATAGTGATCAAAATAATGATTCAGAAGCTAAATTTATTAATAAAACATAGTGAAAATTGAAATTTTCTCTTTATATTAAAATTTATAATTTTAATAAGAAATAATTTTTATTTTTATATTAAAATAAAGTTTATCAGTTGTAGTTTAACATATATTTTTTTCAGATTTTTTAGATTTTTTCTGAAAGAATTACTCTAATTATAAAGTTAATGCAAAAATTTTTATTAATTAAATTTTATTTTTAATTAATAAAAATTTTTGCATTAATTTTACAATTAAAGCAATTCTTTAGAAAAAATCTAAAAAATTTGAAAAAAATATATGTTAAACTATAACTATTAAAGTTTATTTTAATATAAAAATAAAAATTATTGCTTAATAAAATTATAAATTTTAATATATAGAGAAAATTTTAATTTTCACTATATTTTATTAATAAATTTAGTCCTGAGTTACTATTTTTGATCACTACTATATTTAATAATTTTTTATTAAAGTTTTTAATATTATATAAACTTATTAAAAACATTTAAATATTCTAAACTAATATAAAAATTTATTTATTAATTTTTTTAGTATTTTTATTTTTAATTTTTTTATAATTATATTAATCATTATATAAATACTAAAATTTTTAATTATTTATTTAATAAAATATTAAATATATATAAAATTTTTATAATAAATATAAAAAAAGAGTATATAAATAAAAAATTTCTAATTATCAGATAAATTTTTAATTTTAATATAATATATAGTACCTGACAAAAATTTTTTCATACCTATAATTTTCAGAAGATTATATATAGATATATAAAATTTTACATGAATATAGTATATTATATATGCTGATCATATTAAACTTCAAATAGAGTATATAGTAAAAATATCTATACTACTTATATAATAATTTTTTCAGTCAAAAAATATTTCTTTCTTTATATAAATAATATGAAATCATTTTTTTAGCCACCTACTCAAAAGATTTCAAGCTCTTGATATGTAAGATAGCAAAGTAAGTTTATTATAATGAAAAAATAATTCAAGAATAGGTAAAAAGATGATAAAAAAATAAAGATCTAAGTGATAAATCAAGATCAAATCATCAAAGAATCACTATCAAAAGACAAGATAAATAGATTTTGAAGCTGATAAAAGAAAATGCAAATATTACTATTTTAGAAATCTATCATAAATTTCTAAAGCAGAATATAGATATTTATATGCATACTATTTAATAGTATCTTGGTAAAGATGGAACTTATTATTATAAAAAACTCACAAAATCTTTACTTAAAGTAAAATATCAAAAAAAATATCTCTTATAGACAAAGAAGTATAAGAATTTTAACTGTAATTCTGTAATATTTACTGATAAAAGTATTTTTTGCTTGAATTAATAACTAAAAAAGACTTGATAATTTGTTAAGACAAGAAAAATAATCTGTTTTATCAAGTATCTATTAAAAATTTATATATAAAGCTATTTTTTTTTTAGACTTTAGAAAATTGATAAGCTTTACATATAATTTTAATATATAATATATGATCATACTATATGAAATAGCTCTTCTACCTTTTACTAAGAATCTTTTTAATAAAGATTATGATAGTTAGATTGTGCAAGAAGAAAATAATCCAAAATACTATTTAAAAATTACAAAAACATAAAAAGAAAAAAATAATATTAAAGTTCTTTCTTAACTATTAATATTATCTGATCAAAATCTAATTGAGAATGTCTGAAAGCTTATAAAAATAAACCTGATAAAAAAAAATTAAAATACTTAGAGATTTAAAGGATAAAATAACATGGAAATGGAATTAATTATCTAAGAAGTATGCAGTTAATTTGATAAAAAGTATGGAATATTATGTGGAGATCCTAATTAAAGCTGAGAGCAATTATATTATGCATTAATTTTCATGTAATGTCATGTGTTTTTAAATAAAAAAACTTTTTTTTCTTATCATATCTCTATATCAAGTTAGAGATACAAGAAAATTTTTGTCAGATACTGTAAATAAACTTTTAAATCTTTTATTTTATTATATATTTGATAAGATATTTATATAAAAAGTCAAGTTAAAAATAAATAAATTTAATTTAATTTTATAAATTTATATTTATTTTATTAATATTAAGTAATAATTATTAAATTATAAAATAGAAAAAAATATCTTTAAATAAATAAATAAAAATATAAAAA